CTAGACATATGAGGGTATGAAAAGGGATCAACTAGAAGTAAAGAATATATTTTCTGAAATAAAAAATATTATATAGAGTTCTAATAAAAAACATGTCCAATTGTTTGTTTGTTTGTTTGTTTTTGTTTATTAAAGTCACAAAATGACAATGTTGACTGTACACTTTTCTCCTTTTTGGTGTGTGAGGGAAAATAGTAATAGGGAGACAGTATTTTTCAACAATAACAGAGAGAGAACTTGAGGATCAATAAAACCAAGATGGTGGCATAGGTAAGTGCCTAACTGCAGCCGGCACATCAATTTCAAAATATACAACTAAAATACAAAACGGAAATTATCCAGAACTACGGGAAAGTTGACTGATTGGAAATTCTACAACTGGAAGAGAAAACCAGAAGGAAAATCAGAGGACCTGTAAAAGCCTAAGGTACAGAGACACGGTGTGTGTGTGGAAAGAGAATGGAGCTGGAGCTGGAGAGGAGAGGGTGGCTGAGTGCCTGGCATTCCCTAGCGGGAAGGAGATAAAAGCTCTGGACTGTACTGAACTCCAGTTCCGACTGCACTGAACCCCAGTTCAGTGCAGTCGACCCTGGGAACCCAGGCTCATACAGAGGCAAGGCCCTGGGGACCCAGGCTCATACAGAGGGAATCTGGGCTGTAAGGCGGAAACTCAGGGGAGAGGCGAAAGGCAGAGTCCTGGAGGCACGCATGTTGCACACAGAGGACGGACTGTTGACTGTGCCGCTGGATTACTCTAGCAGGAAGGAGACAAAAGCTCCAGACTGCACTGGACCCCACTTCCAACCCCACTTCTATCTGCACTGAACCCCAGTTCTGGGCTCATTGGGGAAGAGAGTAGACTGTCTGGTAACAGGCAAAACTTGAGGGCACCTTTCTCTCAGAGGTGCTTGCAGCGAGTACCAAAGACACTGAGGAACACTGAGACTCAGGAACCTCATAGGGCGGGGCTGTAGGCTCCACTCTGAAACTCCGCCCCATGCAAGCTGAGCACAGAGGCTTTTGCAAATTTCCAAGTCTAGTCGAATAAGGCAGTCTCCCGGCATAGGCACAGCTGATCCTCACAGCGAATTGGCCTGAAGATCAGTTCCTCCCAGTGATACCAACAACAATCAAGACTTACCTACAATAAGGCTGTACACACAGTCCACATGGGGTGCACCAAGAGTGTCCACCTCAGGTAATTGGGAGGGTGACCCACTGAACCATATAGGACAACATAGCACACAAAGCTACCCTACCAATACAGAGAAGCTGCGAAAATGCTGACACAAGGAAACAGATCACAAACGGGGGGAGAGGGGGGGAGGGAATGGAGGACAACAAGCGGCTGGATATAGAGTTCAATACCATGGTTATAAGGTTTTTCAAGAATTTCCTAGAAAAGGCTGATAAAATAAACTAGACCTATGAAGATATGAAAAGGGATCAACTAGAAATAAAGAATTCATTGTCTGAAATAAAAAATATTATACAGAGTCCTAAAAACAGAATGGAAGATTGCAAGAATTAAGTCAAAGATTTGGAACATAAAGAGCCAGAAGCCACTCCTCTGAAGAAGCAAGAAGACAACAGAATCCAGAAAGTTGAAGATAATGTAAGAAACCTGTGAGACAACTTCAAGCGAACCAACATCACAATTATGGGGGTCCCAGAAGAGAGAGAGCAAGATACCAAAAACATATTGGAAGAAATAGTGACAGAAAAAATCCCCCACCTGGTGAAAGATTTAGATTTACAACTCCAGGAAGCACACAGAACCCCAAACAAAAGGAATCCAAAGAGGACCACACCAAGACACATCATAATTAAAATTCCAAGAGCAAAAGACACAAAGAGAATATTAAAAGCAGCAAGAGAAAAGCAGGCAATTACCTATAAAGGAGCACACATACTATTGTCAGCTCATTTCTCAACAGAAATGGCAAGAAATATACAAGGTGATGAATCGCAAGAACCTAAAGCCAAAAATACTCTACCCAGCAAAGCTATCACTCAGAATCAAAGGTCAGATAAAGAGCTTCACAAATAAAAAAAAAAAGCTAAAGGCATTCATCACCGCCAAGCCAGAATCATATGAGTTGCTAAAGTGGGATGTTTAGGAGTCTCTGGGTGCCTTTCTCTACAGTCCAGACTCCACCCATATGAGCCTGGGTCCACAGGGTTTCGGCCGGGGTTGCGGTTCACTACAATCGGAAAGGGTTCAGTGCAATCAGGAGTTCCTTTCTCCTCCTGCCATCCAGACATTCGGCTGCACTTCCTCTCTGTGCCTGAGCATCTACCTACCTGAGCGCTTTGCGGCTCCCAATTGGATCCCTGAGCCTCTCTCTTTCTTTCTAGTTGTAAATTTCCACTACGCGAGCTTTCCTGTGTTTTTGGATGAAGTCCGTTTTGATTTTAGTAGTTGTTTTTGAAGTTGTTGTGCACTCCTTACTGGGAAATCAAGGGGAACATGAACAAGATTTTTTCGCTATTAATTCATTACCTTAAGGAAATGGCAAAAGAAACTTGTTAGTGCTAAATCACAAATATTGAGAAAGGCATCTCTCCAAGAAGCATTCACAGGGCCCCATGGCCTTATCCACTGGACCACTAAGCCAGAAGCACCCAAGCCAAGAAGGGGTTGGGCCTTCTTGGCTTGGGTGCTTCTGGCTTATCACCTAGCCTGCCCCTCAAAACCCCCAGCCCCCTTGTTTAGGTCACTGCTGTCTAGCAGTCATCACCAGAAAAGGATGTAAATGTATTAGTGGCAAGCAACCTATCAGAGCAAGAATTCAGAGAAATTATCATAAAATGGCTAAAAAGAATGGAAGACAAATTTGACATTATGAGTGAGAACCAAAGTTTCAATTGTAGAAGATAAAATAATTCCCAGATACCAGGGTCTCCGCTTGTTTCGCCAGGGGACGTGGCTGGCCTCCAAACCACCACAGGCCCCTCACCCATGCTGCCCCACACCCCAAGGGAACCCCCACCCTGACACACCCCTACCTTTCAGTGCAAACCAGCTGGCTCCCACCCATGAACCAGGCATGTATCCAATCTACCGTGTTTCCCCGAAAATAAGACATCCTCCGAAAATGAGACCTACTTACAGGTTTCCTTCTGAGTGAAATATAAGGCATCCCCCCGAAAATATAAGCACACCCCCCCCAGGCTAAACATGAGAGATTTGGTCCACTGATTCTGAAAGAAATAGAGTCACAAGAAATTCACCAGGAAATTCAGGAATTGGATTGCTATGATGATGTTCCAGAAGATGATGACATGATTGTCATTGAATAAATGAGTAAATTCTTGATACTGTAGGATTCAGTTTGTCTGGTTTGTGTTAACAACTACTGTACTACCGTACCGTATACAGGTAATAAATTTCCTTTATTTTTATTTAACAATAAATGTGTACTGTATTCTTCTTCATGGAAAAATAAGACATCCCCTGAAAATAAGACCTAGCGCATCTTTGGGCGCAAAAATTAATATAAGACACGGTCTTATTTTCGGGGATACAGGGTAATAAAAGAGTATTATGCAGATTGACCAATCACTCCAATATACAAGATGGCTGCCCCCACGTGGACACCAGATGGCCACCATAAGATGGCCAGCAGAGGAGGGCAGTTGGGGGGTCCAGTCCTGCAGGGGAGGGCAGTTAGGAGTGACCAGGCTAGCAGGGGAGCAGTTTGGCATCAATCAGGCTGGCAGGGTCGTGGTTAGGGAGTGATCAGGCTGGCAGGCAGAAGCGATTAGGGGCAATCAGGAGGGCAGGCAAGCAGTTGGGAGCCAGCCCTGGATTGTGAGAAGGATGTCTGACTGCCTGTTTAGGCCCGATCAGTCAGACATACCATGAGGGGTCCCAGATTGGAGAGGGTGCAGGCTGGGGTGAGGGACACCCCCCTGCATGCACAAATTTTGTGACCGGGTTCTAGTAAGAGATAAAAGGGGATATCACCACAGATCCCATGAACATCAAAAGGCTAATAGAGGAATACTATAAACTACGCCCACAAAAGTAATCACCTTCCAGAAATAGAAAGAACTGGGCTAAGATGGGCTCACTGGTCAATGCTAGGCAACATTTAGGGAATAAATTACACCAATTATCTGCAGATCTTTTTTTTTTTAAACAGTTTTTAAAAAAATATATTTTATTGATTTTGTACAGAGAGGAAGGGAGAGGGATAGAGAGTTAGAAACATTGATGAGAGAGAATCATCGATCAGCTGCCTCTTGCACACCCCCTACTGGAGATGTGCCCGCAACCAAGCCACATGCCCTTGACCGGAATCGAACCCGGGACCTTTCAGTCTGTAGGCCGACGCTCCATCCACTGAGCCAAACCGGTTTCGGCTATCTGCAGATCTTTAGGAGACAAAAGCAGACAGGCCACACATTTAGCGACAGGAATTCAGGTGCGAATGGCAACAACTACCGATCAATGGAGAACAGAGAACTGTCCTGTAACCACTGGGGGTTACAGGTAAAACCTGAATCCTCCACCTTCCAGGGAGCCTGTGCTCTGGCTTCCGGCCCCCCAATCCCGGCCCCCCAATCCCGGCCCCGCCCCCGGCGCGCTGCAGCCCCTGCTTCCTGCCCGCGGACACCTCATAAGCCCCACCCCTGGCGCGCTGCAACCCCTGCTTCCGGCGCCCAGGCGTAAATGTCACTTCCGGTGTTTCCTGTCGCTGTGCCAGTACTTAAGATGGTCGCTGGCCTTTCCGCCGCAGTGGCCAATGGAGGGGAAGCCGGCAGGAGCCCAGGGTTGCCCGGCTCCGCCATGGCCGCCGGGGGCGTGGCTTCCGGCGCTCGCGCCCTTGAGTCGGGGTGGCCGTTCCGGCGCAGGCGGCGGCTGACAGGCGCTGCTCCTCCTCCTGCTCCTCTCCCTTCTCGTTCTCCGCCTCTTCCGACGGCGCGGCTCGTGCCCAGGCGGACTGCCGACCCCCGGCTCGCGGCCCTGCAAGGCGCCAGGGCCGCTCTGGGGGATGGACGAGGGGAAGATGGACGAGAATGAATGGGGGTACCACGGCGAGGGCAACAAGAGCCTGGTTGTGGCCCACGCGCAGGTGAGCGACCGGCGTCGGCGCGTCTGGGACCCTCATCTTGGCCGACCGTTTCCTCTCCCGCACCCCGCGGTGCGGGTCGGGGTCCGCCCCTCCCAGACCCCTTCCCCTGTCACCCCAGTCAGTTCCGCGTCCCCGCAGTCACCCCTCCGGGTCGCTTCCGCGTCCCCCAGCACCCCTCTCCGGTGAGTTCCCTGTTGCTCCAGGGTCGCCATCGCCTGGCCAGTTTCGGGGCCCCCGGGCTCTGGCGCCGTGGGCAGAGGGTGAGCGGCGCGGGGGGAGACCCGGAGGCTGTGGGCCTCCCGCGCGGGGTGGCGGGCGGCGCGCAGGCGCTGAGACGCCCGAGCTGCTGCTCTGCTGCCGCTCCCCGCGGGGCACTGGCCTGCGCTTTTCAGAAAGTGCTGTGAGAACTCCCAGGGAGGTGGCTCCAGGAAGAGAAGCCGGAGCGAGGGCCCGGGTCTCCCTGACCGGCTGCCGGCCGGCCGACACCAGCGGCAGGAACGCAGCGGCTGGGGGAAGGGTCAAGAGCAGGCGAGTTGGAGTCACACAGAACGGGCAGAATCCCAGATCTACCACGGCCTGGCCCAGTCTCCGTTTCTGCATTTGCAAAGTGAACTACGGGTGTAACAGAACCCCCTTTGTGTAATTGCTAGAAAGATGAGGGAGCAGGAGCTGGACAGGTTACACCTGGCAAGTGAGGCTAAGTTACCTGACCCGGACCACGAGCTGCTATGGGATGGGGCCTGGCTCTGCCATTCCATACTGGGTGCGCCGGGTCAGCTGTAGGGTAAGTTGCAGTCACCCCGGCACCCCTATGTACTGCCACAGTCTGGAAACGTAAGAACTGGGACTACACGCTTTGCTCAAGACCTTTAGATGGATTAACAATGGACCAGGCTCACCTGAAGCTGTTCTCTATGCAGTCAGCTGGGCCCCGTTCTGTTTCAAGGTCAGGCAAAGCATGGGGTATTTCAGCATGAGCTCCTTTTGTCGTTGGGTTACTGTGGTGATGCAAAAGCCTCTCACAAAACAAATACTCATCTTCCAATTCCTTAGTAAGACTGGGTAGTGTATCTTCATCTTGGGTAAAGCTGAGCTTTTTTTTAGTGGGAGGCTAATGTACTGAGTTTCAAAAATACTGTTGGACAAAGGAGCAAGTTCCAGACTTGGAATACTATAAACTACGCCCACAAAATTAATCACCTTCGAGAAATAGAAAGTCCTGGGCTAAGATGAGCTCCTGGTCAATTCTACGCATCATTTAGGGACTAGATTACACCAGCTACCTTCACGGTGGAGGCTCAGAGGCATCAGGCACTCACACACCTTCGCCACCCCTGACAAGAGCTTGCTCCCTGCCAGGGTGGTTGCCCCCCCACCCCCAGCACCTTGTTGCATGCCTGTTGTTGGGGTGGTGGGTTTTTGTTTCTTTTTCCTTTTAAACTCAGTCATCAGGCTGCCCTGGACCCATGTTGTTCATTCTGTATTTTAAATCTAAATTTGCTCCCATGTGCTCATGCCTGCCTGGCTAAGTAGCTATCTTTTGAACGTGAAGATGATCTTTGTAAATAGTCTTGTAAGAAAGTGTTCCTACCAAGTGAAGGCACTGAGTAAAGGGAGTGAAGAAGCCTTTGTGCTTTGCCTGGGCTTGACCGTGTGTGTGTGTGTGTGTGTGTGTGTGTGTGTGTGTGTGTGTGTGTGTGTGGTGGTGGGAAGAGTCCTGGAAGGCAGCCTCTGCTTTCAGGTTTGTGCTGTGCCTGAGGAGAGGGTGTGTGCTAGTGGGAGAGAAGATGGACACCTGAGCACAGGATTCCCTCACCTGGGTGGACTCCCGAGACCCCCTAATTCATTCCAAGGCAGAGAGCTGCATTCCGCACTTTTTGTTTTTCATGTATTTTTATTGCTTTCCGAGAGGGAGAACTAGAATCATCAACGATGAGAGAGAATCATTGATCAGCTACCTCCTGTACGTCCCACACTGGGGATCGAGCCCACACCCCGGGTGTGTTCCTTGACTGGGAGTCGAACCGAGACCTCCCAGGCTATAGGTCGACACTTAGCCCCTGAGCCCCAGTGGCCAGGCCCCACTTGTCTCTGGATGAGGAGATAGTCCCATTCTTGGCGAGGGCATCGTTTACTTCTGATCGAAAGGTCCCTGTGAAGTAAGCAGCCTGTTCTCTCCTCGCCAGCTCAGAACACTGCGTGCCTCCAGGCGTCTGCACTGAAGGAACATGAGGCGAAAGACACACAGCCGGCCAGGGCTCAGAGCTGTGAGGACACGGGGCTTGTGAAATGGGGCTTGGAGAGGGAAGAGCTGAGTGCAGGCCACAGGAGGCCATGGCACAGGCAGGGTCTCAGTGCCGAGCGTGAAGAGAGGATAGTGTGAGGCCCTCATGGCAGACCAGTTCCCTGGCAGATTGCTGTGGCTTTCTCGTGGCCCCTTCAGGCATCCTGTGTCTGTCACTTAACCTGGTGCTCAGCACCCTTGGTCCAGCCGTGCAGTTTAACCCTTTCCCAGGCCCTGGCCCTTGGCCCTTGGCTCTGGTGCCAGCCCTGTTGGCCCACAGCTTGGCACTGTGTCTCAGTGGGGGCCTGGAGGCCCAGGCACTGACCTCATGCAAGGTCTTGGGCAAGGGCATTTCCTTGTGGGCAGTGAGGGTGCTGTCATTTATCCTGGTGACCAGGCCACACTTCTGCTCAGTCTGAGCTGTGGGTAGTGAAGCCCAGGCTTCCCTTGTGTGCTGCTGGGATTTCTGTCTGTGTGGCTCTCACACCTGCACTTACCCTTCTTCACCTTTGTCTGGTTGGCTTGGCTCGGTGTCCTGTCCTGTGAAGGTCACCGTAGTCTGGTTTATAATCTGATCTCCTAAGTGTCGCCAAGGTGGTGGGAGTCAGCCGGGGCAGGCCAGGCAGAGAGCTGCTCCAGGCCTTGAGCCACCGCCTCGGCTGCCCTCACCTCCGGGGCAGGACGCAGGGCAGACAGTGGCCCCCTCCCTTCCCCACACTGGGCTGCTGCGACAGAGCGAAATGAAAGACCTGCCAACAGAGGCCGTTTGTCAGAGCATGTAGGAAGCTGTCATGTCTGATCTTTCAGGTTTTGCAGCCTTCCTGAGATTCTGGGGAGTGGGGGTGGGGGACCGGTGAAGCCCTCTGGTGTTGGAAGTTCCTGTCGTCGGGCCATCTGACTGCGCCCTTCCTGTCTTGCATTTTAGGATTTCTGGTTTGTAGGTCATACTTAATGTATGTGTCGGAAGCAAATAAGAATTGTTCTGTTCTATTGTTTGTTTGTTTTTAATGACTTTTCCCAACTCCTGGGCCACTCCCTTCTTTCATTTTTTCCTGAATCTAGTTGAAAGAGTCTTAACCTTTTGTTGCCTCTAGATTTTTTTTTAAATAAGTAACTGATTCTGTATTTGAGATTTTTAATTCTATCCATACAGGTTGATACAGTAGATGTGACTTTTTTCTTGGTAAGACCTCTTTGGAGACTCTGCATGTGGCTCCCATCTGTTTGCACTGTAGTTGAATGATTAGGATTAGTTATTTCCCAATCGTGTTTCCTTTGGTGGTCTCCAGCCCTGGCCTTGGCGAACACTGAGCCCTGCTTTTCTAGCATCGAGTCTGCCCACTGGGCCTGGTCTCCCGAGGTGGCGTGGCTCCCAGCCTGCTCCTCAGTCTGCACTCAGGAGCAGTGGCCCCGGGTACCGTGAGGGAGGGAAGGTTCTTCGTGTGCAGCAGCAGGACGACTGCAGCACCGGCTGCCGCACCTGCACACGCGTGCATTTGTGCCCCTGCTCCATAGCGCTTGTGTGGGCCCTATGACTCTCTGGCACCCATACCGTGTTTGTCAGTCCAAATTGTTCTGGTTTTCTGGCTGTCACCCCAGCCATCCCTTCAGGGACCATCGAGTCCCCTCGGTTTCAGCCCAAGTGCCCTTCCCTGCCTATCACGTGGATGTGTAATCCACTGTCTGTCTCTCCCCCCCCCCCCCACCACGGTCTAGCTGCGCCTCGTCAGCTGGGCAGTAGTGGTGGGTCCAGAGGGGCTGCCAGCCTTGGAAGGAACAGGTTCTCCTTCTGGCCTCGATGGGCACCCCTCGGCGAGATGTCTCATCTCTGTTTTGTCTGAGGCTGTCCACCCAGCACCATGTCCCGCCCCACTGTGGGTCCTGTGGTGTGTTACTTGTTGGGTCACCGCAGGCGTTAGCCTGGCCAGGTGTTGTCACCGATGCTCTGAGAGGCCACTCAGGTTGGGGCTGGCAGGGCAACTGCAAAAGGCAGCCTCACTGAGAAGCACTAGCCATCGGACACCCAGGGCAGCGCCTCGAGGGGTCATCCTCTGCCGCGGTGTCAGCCTTCCTCCCGTAACACTGCCTGGTCTGTGCCTCTTGGGGTCAGCAGGAGGCCAGGCTGTCCTGCGACAGCAAGGCTGCACCTGAGACACCGTGAGGGTGCCCGCAGGCACGCCAGCCTCCCCTGGGTGTTTGCCTGGGGCCTAACCCTTTAATTCCACCCACAGCTTCACTCTCTCTGGCTTCAGGTGGGCAGGGTTTTTTTTTTTTGTTTTTTTTAAAATATATTTTATTGAGTTTTAGAGAGAGGGATAGAGAGCCAGAAACATCAATGAGAGAGAATCATCGATCAGTCGCCTCTTGCACACCCCCCACTGGGGATGTGCCCGCAACCAAAGTACATGCCCTTGACCGGAATTGAACCTGGGACCCTTCAATCCACAGGCCGACGCTCTATCCACTGAGCCAAACCGGTTTTGTCTCTCCTTCTTAATATATTGGTTTTTATGGTCTTTTATTTGTGTTTAATATCAACTATTGCTTCCTCCTCAGTTTCAGAAAATTCTATATAATAAAAACCTAGTATGCAGATTGACTGGACCCAGTTGCTATGACACGCACAGGGGGAGCGCCGCTCAGCCAGAAGCCAGGCTCAGGGCTGGCGCCTCCGCTGCGGGCGGGAGGTAAAGAGCAAGGGGTCCTGGACTGAGAGAGGGCACAGCGTGCTGAGGGTCCCCCCTCCCCCCCTGTGCATGAAAGCACCCAGTATTTCCACATGAAAAATAATTTTTGTTAACACTCTGGTGCACTCCCTCCATTATATGGTCTTATTGGGTATGTAAGAACCCTTTGGCCTGCCCAATGTGGCTCAGTGAGCATCGACCCATGAACCAAGAGTTACTGGTTTGATTCCCAGTCAGGGCAGTGTAGGGGGAGTGCAGGAGGTAGCTGAACGATGATTCTCATTGATTTTTCTCTTTCTCTAAAAAGATATCAATAAAAACTATATTTTTAAGAAGGAATTCTTTGTTTCTGCCTTTTCACTCAGCCTTGCAGCCTCACTGTGTAGAGCACCCTTCACGCACATCTCCGCTGTCAGGGCCCACTGGCGGCCAGGGCCCGGTCCGCGCTGCCAGGCACTTGTGAGGCTGTGCTTTTAGAGCTATCCCGAGCCTGGCTTTGCTGGGCTTCCTGATGTTTCGATGACTTGACGCTCTCAGAGTGGATCGGAGGCACCTTTGCCAGGCCCACTCCTCCCCTCACCCCCTCGCCCTGGGACCCTCCCAGCACAGGAAGCTTCCTGCTGCTTTAATAAGTGACAAGTTGTACCCTGAGCTCTGTACGCTTTGAGGTTGTTTATATGTGTCATTTCTGCACTCAGTGACTTTTTTAGCTTTTTGAGATCAGGTTCTCATCTGGGTGCCCAGGTGTGAGTGAGTGTGCCTTGCTCCCTGTCCTGCTGCAGGCAGAGCTGTCCGGCGGACTGTCTTCCTGATCTCACCCCTCTCTCCTCTTCCTTGGGATCGGGTCCTAGGCACTGAGAAGAAGGCACGTCTCAGACACCTGCGTTCCCAAGTCTGTTTGGAGAGAAAGTTTCCTTCCCAGCTGGTCAGACCTGGGGCAGTGGCAGCCCCGGCGCTCACGGGGGCCAGCAGTGCCCACTCCCCCGGGCATCTCCCTGAGGCCAGCCGAGGCAGCCTGCCCTTCAGCCACGGTAGCCCTGGGACCAGGTGTCTTTCTGCCCACGAGGCCGGTGCGGTGGGTTTCTCACCTCTCTCTGCTGCCCATCTGAACAGACGCTGCTGGCTCCACATCTGGCCCTTGGCATCACCTGTGGCCACTGGGCCAGCCCAGTCCTGACAGCCCGGCCCCACAGCCCGGCCCCACAGCCCCCACAGCCCCCACAGCCCGGTCCCCACAGCCCGGCCCCACAGCCCGGCCCCCACAGCCCCCACAGCCCGGCCCCCATAGCCCGGCCCCACAGCCCGGCCTCCACAGCCCCCACAGTCCGGCCCTCACAGCCCGGCCCCACAGCCCCCACAGTCCGGCCCTCACAGCCCGGCCCCACAGCCCGGCCCCCACAGCCCCCACAGCCCAGCCTCCACAGTCTGGCCCCCACAGCCCCCACAGCCCGGTCCCCACAGCCCGGCCCCCATAGCCCGGACCCACAGCCCGGCCCCCACAGCCCGGTCCCCACAGCCCGGCCCCCATAGCCCGGACCCACAGCCTGGCCCCCACAGCCTGGTCCCACAGCCCCCACAGCCCAGCCCCACAGCCCGGCCCCCACAGGGCAGCGGTGCTGGCCTTGCAGAATAGCTGCATCCCTAAGTGTGGTGTTGGGGACTGGCCCTCAGGAGGACACTGTAGCTCCCTAGGGTGGGCTGGTAACATTGAAATCGTTTCCATTTTATTTAGAATTAGCAATACTTTTCTATGAGCAGTAAAATCTCCTGTGCATTATTTCCTTAAGATACGCTCCTGAGGGGCTGGCTGGGCCGGAAGGCACAGGTATTCCTGTTGCCCTGTGGCCCCAGTGTGTCCTCTGGTGGGGGCACTGGGTGTTCCGGCCAGGGGGCTGCCTCTGAGGCTGCCACCTCCAAACTGCTGAGGACACCCCCACGCTGCCCAGCCCCTCCTGCTCACCCCGCCCCAAGTGTGCAGGCGCACTAATCACCCTTTGCTTTCTTTTCCAACAGCGTTGTGTGGTCCTGCGCTTTCTGAAGTTTCCTCCCAATAGGAAGAAGGTAAGGTCTGTTGAGTTTGCTACCCAGACATTGAAACAATGACTTAGGGACACTTTAAGCACGTGTTCATTATAGAATTTAACTGTGACACAGCATTCCATCAGAACGTGGTGGTCTGATTCCTGCAGGTCCCGGTGCTTGGTGGGGTCACTGTGGGAGTCCCTGGAGGCTGAGCTAGAAGTCACCTGTTCAAGTCAGGGAGCCCTGTGGTTGGTGGGGACCCCAAGGGCCAGGTCTCAGCTTTGCGTTCCCCCGTCTCTGAACATGAAGTCTGGGATGCTGGCAGGTAGACAGCATTGCAGGTCCCAACAGGCAGCTCAATGAAGCCTTGTTTCTATTTGCTGAGTCGTCCACGCCCAGGACTGTGGACACTCTCGGGGCTGTTGCTGTTCTGCAACCCCGCTGACCTCTGGGAGGCAGTGACCTGGAGTGGGGTGTCGCTGTGGTTTTCATCCAAATCTCGGTGGGCGCAGGGAGCCTCAGAGCCCTTCTCTTTGTGGCCTGGGGGAAGGGAGGGAGGCGAAGGAGCTGGTGTGAGCCCTGCTCCAAAGCAAAGGCAGAGCTGTGGGCACGGCTCTCCCAGGGGGATGGTGGGGTGGGGGCGGGGAGTGGGGATTGGGTAGAATGGCCGTTATGTTTCTGTGGAATCCAAGTGGAGGCCAGAGCCATCTGGGCGGCTGCCTCCAGCCCCCTTCTCCACTCAGCACCTGCTGCGCCCAGACCCACTCTCCGGTCAGCTTTTCCTGTCCCCATTTCTGGGGACATTAACAGTTTGCGTTTACTTATTGTGCCAGGGGCGATACCGGGGAATGCTGTGGTTGTGCTGTCAACAAAAGGAGCTTTTTGTCAGGAGCCCTGGGCAAGCAGCTGGAGCCACTGCGTGGGCTCTGGGCCTTTCTGTTGGGTTTCATTCTGTCGCGTCACACTGCCCGTGCCTTGGGATGCCTGCTGGGTCTGCAATGCTACAGCGCAGTTGGCAGCCCCACCCAAGCCTTCCCTGGAGCTCAAGCCCTGTGTCGGCACCACCTGGGCTGCCCTGGAGGACAGCTCTCTCTCTCCTCAGACCTGGCACGGCCCTGCGGAGTTCCTGCCCCCGCCAGGGCGCCTCAGGGTTGATTTGCTCTCTCACCCAAAGCTTATAGCTTACTGGCTCCTTACAAACATCTGACTTGGGAGAAAATGTTTTATTCTCTATTTAGAGGCTGAAGAATAAAATGTAAATACCTAGTGATTTTTGGACAGGAGAGATTTTCAAAGTCCAGTTCCTCGGAAGCGGTGCACGAGCGCTGGTGGAATCACCGGTGTTCCTGGCACAGGAGTGGGTCACGTGGGGCCCTGGGTGGAAGGCAGAGGTGGGCCTGGGAGCTGAGAGGACAGAAGCTCCGGTGGGTCTGGTGGTGTCTGTGGCGAGGCTCCCTCCTCCACGGCCTGGACTGCCGTCTCCTTTTGGGAGGGCAGCCGGCGCCCTGTGTGTACCCTCCGTCCGTCCGCCGCCGCCGCCTCGGTAAGGCCTCCCTGTGCTTCTCTGTTGCAGGCCTCGGAAGAAGTATTCCAGCACCTACAAAACATAGTGGACTTTGGCAAAAATGTCATGAAAGAGTTTTTGGGGGAGAACTATGTTCATTGTGGGGTAAGTGGTTTCATTTATGGAGTCTAAGTTCATGGGCAAGACCTGTATTAACACCAGCTTCTCAATTACAGCTCGGAACTCTGAGCTTGCTAGTTCCTCATGTTAGAGTTTCCGAGCAGTTTGTTTTTTGCATTTGCTGTGTTGTGAGGTAGCAGAGCAAATAGTATTATTTCCATTTTCTAGCTGAAAAGCCTGAGTTTCAGTGAGACCCCCACTTGCCAGGGTACCAGTCGTCCCCCCCCCTCCCCCCCCCGGAGATGTGCAGCATGGCGAGGGCCTGATCGAGGTCCAGACAGCCTGCTGCATCCAGTGTGGCTGGTCTGCGCTGCTGGCTCTCGTTGGTCATGTCACTGACAAGGTCTGCAGTGTGGACGCTTGGGGAGGAGACAGTGCAGGGAGCCACAAGGCTTGGTCCGGCTGTCTCAGTGTCTGTTGGCCCTGCTGCCTGTTTTAGATCAGGGCTCTGAACAGATTAACAGGTTTGTCACTTTGCACCTAGAGAACACTGCTCCGTTTTTGCAGATCCTGTGACTTGCATCTGTCCTAGGAAAAATGATCCTAGGAGTTGAGGGCACCTGTGAAGCAGAAGGGTTGCCCGGCAAAGTAGGTTTTAAATGGCTCTGACAGTAAAGCATCCTCCAAGAAGGTCCTTAGACAAGCTTAGGATGTATGGGGGTGGCTGCGCGTGTCCCTCAGGCTGCAGCCTTGACTGAAGGCATCAGACCCTTTTCCAGGGTGGCCCAGCCATGGAGCTGACAGGGTGGCATGGCTTTTGGCGGGCTTTCTTAGCACCTCCCCACATGGGTTTACTGCAGGGCTCTGAGGGTCCTTGTGACAGCCCGGGCTCCCCAGTACTTGATCTGAGAGATGATCTGGCCCAAAGTTGTGTCTGTCCTTTCCACAGCATCCTGCAGCCTTGCAGGTCAGCCCACGCAGAGTGGAGGGCCCGCAGGGAGCTGCAGTCTGTGCGGAGCCTTTCTCTGTCTCACAGCGCTGAGGCTCCAGACCTTTCTCCTGGCAGGGTCAGGGAGGAGGTAGTGGGAGGTGAGGGCAGCCCAGAGCAGCCCGATAAGTGGGAGCAGCGTCAGGGTGCCCCCTGGCCCAGGGCACACATGCTCCGCCATCCACAGGGGATGGGTCCCTGGCTGCATGAGGTGAGGCCACAGGTTGCTTTCTGGGAACAGGCATCCTGTTGGCATGGAGACAACACCTGAGTGAGCACAGCCTGTTTTGCCCCCAGGGGACCGCCACTCAGGCCTGGCCCACTGGCATCCGGAGCACGTCTCTGATCCGCACCGACACATGCAGGCAGGCAGCCGGCCCAGATGCCGCATGGGAAGTGGCGGGTGCAGCCGGAGAGCCTTCCTCTCCTCTGTGTCCTGGGACAGATACAGCCACCCATGGGAAGAGCACGACCCAACAGCACCCTGCTCATGCCTGCACTGCCTCCGGCCTGCCCAGCTGTTTGCTGACTGGTCTGGGCCGGTTTCCGTGTGAACTGGCGGTTAGCCAATGGGGACGAGGCTGTCCCTTTATGCCTACAGATGTCTGCATCTTAAATCCTGGGGGTCTGGAGACCTGGCGAATTCTAGGTTTGCCTCGCTTTTGTGGGCCTCGGCCTTTAAGTTTGGGTGCCCCTGGGTGGCCTGGACTTCACCTTTACCCTGACATGATGGGGGCACGGGCCAGGCCAGCCCGTGTGGCGAGTGAGGCTCCAGTCTGGGCAGCCTTTCTCTGCAGCCTCCCTTCCCTTTGAGGGCAGTGCCTGTCAGCAGGGAGCCGGGTGGCCCCATCTTCCAGGAACACTTTCTGGGAGGGTTCCATGCTCTGCCAGTTTCCCTAAGTTAATGCCACGTGATTACCTCCCCATAACCTCCCTACTGATGCCCACTGCCTCCCAGGGCTCTGAGGAGCCATGCGTCCATCTAGCAGGTGATGGCACGGCTCACAGGGTCATGAGTCTGAAGCAAGGGTTGGTTAATATAACCAAATGCTGGGAAGAGTGTTTACTACCAACATTTTACTCTGACTTAAAACACAAATAGAACTCATTATAAAAGCAGGAATTTAAAGTTGCTTTAAGAAATAAATTCTACTTTTCACCCTGGTGACTGTTGACTTAGGTGGGGCAGTCACAGATGCGTTTCAGAGTAGCTGAGCCACTCTGGACTCGACCCCTCGGTCCCCTGCACGGTCTGTCACTTGAGGAGTGCAGCAGGGCCTGCCTGCCTTCCCCGGCTGAGGCGTCAGCCCCTGCGCAGGCCTGAGCGCCGTGCGGCCGTGCCCAGCCTTGGCTCAGGCTGCGAGCTGAGGGTTCCTCTGCGGGAGGGTCGGGAGCAGTTCTTTATCTTTCCTGCACAGTGTCCCTCGAGAGCCATCTGCTCATGTCCTACCTTTGGTTTGTTAAAGTGGACTGAGACCTTGGGTTTTTAAGTTTTGCATTTTAAAATGTTTATAATACCCCCTCTTCCATTGTTTCACCTTACCTAACTCACTGAGCCACACCGGTCCCACCTTACCTGAATCAGAACTAAACTTTTAGCAGCTTGCCTTTTACCAGTTTACAGCTGTGCAGGTAAACGCCAGAATTCAGGAGGTCAGCTCACTCCGTAGGCTGGAAGTGGATGACGGGCAGCCAGGGCCCTGCAGGAGCACGTCTGTGCGGCAGGAAGCAGACAGGCCTGGTGTCCACGTCCCAGGCTGGGCTCCTGTGTCCTGTGGGGCTTCTCCAGACGCGAGCCTGCCACCCAGGCAGCCCCAGAACAGCGGTGAGAGCACGGACTAAAGCTCCTTCGGCGGGAAATTGCGAGGAGCAGCAATGTGGAGAGAAGCTACGTGGTCTTGCGCCCAGATGCACAGCCTGCGGGCCTCGGAGTCCCGTGGCGGAGGCCCTGGGCTCTCCCTGGAGATTAGTATTCCATCAGACCCTTCCCTGAGCTGTTCCTTGGGGGAGTGGGAGAGACCCCGTGTGTCTGGAGACACTGCTGGGAGCCTTCGTGCCAGTAGCAAGCCCCTCCGGCCCTGCTTTGCCGCAGGGACGCCACGAGGAGAGGACACCGACTGGGTGATGGACCGCTGCTGGTCACCACCCGGCACCCAGCCGCTCTGAGGAGGACAGCGCTCCTAGTGCTTCTGTTGAATCGGGACGTGAAGCCCACGTTCTAGTACCGAGGACCTGTTAATGTGCTGAAATATACGTCACATAATGTACCGCTGGCACCGCTGTTGGTGCGCAGCTCCGCGGCCGGCACGTTCTCCGTGCTGTGCGGCCCACACTGTGCTGTTTGTCCTTACAGGAGGTGGTCCAGCTGCCTCTAGATTTTGTGAAGCAGCTCTGCTTAAAGATACAGTCTGAGCGACCAGGTAAGGTTTCTGACTTACACATTTCCTGTGTCATGTAAGAGACCCGGTGTAAAGTGTGTGACATTTTCCCTCATGTTAGGCAGATGCAGTTTTCAGCAGTTCTTTTGCCAGAAACTTGATCATCAGGGTAGAGATCCCGGAGCTTATGAAGACAATTCTGGCACCAGATCCCCAGGCCACAGCAGAGAATGTGTGACCAGGGACTAATACTAGTAAACATGCATGTGGGAGTGAGAGGGAGCCAAGGAGTTAGGGGAGACTCAGGGAAGGGAAGGGAGGCTACAAGGAGACTGGAGGAGCCAAAAGGAAACCAAGTAGATCCACACTGCAGAGGAGGGCCAGGCCCACAGTCTGCAGCCGGAGGACCTGCCCCAGAGTGGAGCCCACCCAGCCTGCTTGTCCTCCTGGGAGACCAGGAGACGTGAGTTCTGTGGGCAGTGCCTGCCCCATCACCTCCCGTGCCTGCCCCGTCATCTCACATGCCTCCCCAATCACCTCACAAGCCTCCCCAATCACTTCACTTACCTTCTTGAACTTAGTCATGGCTTAGTGACGGGAGATGATGGGGCAGTCAAAGACTTGCCTTTCAGGGCCAGAGACAAAGAGGGAAAGCCCTTGTGATTGAGATGGACATGCCTCTGTCTAAAAAAACAGCCTGGCAGCCACGGTGTGCAGTGGCCGGTGGACAAGTCTCCCTTATTTGGCAGGAGCAGGCAAGCCCCAGAGCACCGTGCCGGGAGCCCCTGGTGGAGGAGGCCTAGAGGGCTCCGCTTGGAGAAGGCTGAGTGGGGAAGGAGGTCATAGCCACATTGAAGCCAGGACAGCGTCTTAGTTGTTTCCTCCTCTAGACTAGACGAAGACAGACTGAGACTTGCTCTAGATTCTGCCAGGCAGCTGCAATGCTGCTCAGTGCCATTATTTTATTTTAGGGTTAGTAATTAAATTTATGCTACTTAACAGTAATAATGACTCATAGTCAGCCTTGTTCTGTGAAAGGAGGAAAGCCAACCTCACGTGAGGTCTGGAGGCCACATGTGCCTTCCGTGACTGCCCACGGCACAGCTGCCAGCAGTCCCTGCCCGGGAGCCCACAGGAACTCTCCTTCCTCTGAGCTCCTAGGTTCAGGGGCCTACAGGGTTTGGGGGCAGTCCCCAAGACCAGCCTCAGGGCCTGGTCATGGTCATTTTATGGCTCGTCGCAGCTCAGGGACACAGGCAAGACCAGCAGAATGACGGGGTTCTGGGTGCAGGTGCCCTGGAGTCATTTGGGGTGTGCATCCTGCTGGCAGCAGCAGTGTGTGAGTGCATGGATCAGTGCCACACACAGAGGCTGCCCAGCTGTGGGGGGAAGTTTTGGAGGGTTGGGCATTAGACACAGCTGACTAGCTAGCTGCCCTCAGCCTCCAGCCTTCCGGAGGTCGAGCTGATACCGTGAGACCCAACCCCCACCCCGAGTCACAGTTGCACTCATGTGACTCAAAGGCCCGACAGGCAGCACACTCCAGCTGCAGACAGCCGCCAGGGGCTGGAGGCCAGGGCTGGCTCCTCCAGGGAATGCGCCGAATTGTGCGGCATCGTCTTGCACCTCTGGCCCTGATCCTCAGGTATGTTCCACCCCTGTTTTCCAGAATCTCGCTGTGACAAGGACCTGGACACACTCAGTGGTTACGCTCTGTGCCTTCCCAATTTAGCCAGACTTCAGACCTACCATTTTGCCGAGCACCGGCCGATTCTATGTGTAGAGATCAAGGTGAAGTTTTGTAAAGGGGAGTGGTGTGGGGAGAAGGGAAAGGTGGGTTCAAATTGAGTCCAGTCCAGGGTACCTGCCAGAGCACAGCTTCCCGCAGAAGCTCCTGCTGTCCCCACGGCCCCGCAGCCCTTCCTGGGGCCAGTATCTCCTAGGTCCTCCGCCTGCTTCCCGCTCCTCCCATGGTGCCACCTGCTCCGTCCTGCCCTGGTTTCTCCCACCGGCCAGACCCAAGGGACGTGGCTCCCCAGGCCCCAGACTTAGGCCTGTTTCCAGGTGCTGCAATGGAGAAACAGCTGGCAGGCCCTGGCTGACAGCCACCAGCACAAGTGCTTTGGGTTCCACCCTCCCCGTTTGCTCTGGAAGGTGCAGCTCGCTAGGCCCTGACCACCCCCTTCTGCCATTCCCCGTGGGCCCCGTGGTGACACTACATGCTGTGTTCCAGGAGGCCAGCTTGAGGGTTACCCTTCGGACCGGGGAGCATTCTGTTCTTTTGCTGCTGTCCTGCTCAGGGGAAACCTCCCCGGAGGCACAGTCACATACATGATTCTCAAGGCCTAGGTTTGTTGTGGCCAGGAGTCCCGAGCAAGGTGGGGGTGGGGTGGGGGATAAGAGGTGTTGCTCGTCCATTGGAGGAAGTGATTGTCAGATAAGGATCAGGCCCCTGGCTTCATTCAGCTGCCCAGTGCCCAGGGGCTGCTCAGGTCCTTCTCCGGAAGCTTCCCAGATGTCCCAGACTATTGTTCGTCTCCTTTTTCCAAACCTCTCTGGCGGTAGTTTTCAGGTCACACCCTTGGCCCGAGCACTCAGAACCCCTGTGCTCAGAGGGGACTGCAGACCTGCTTCCCCAGCCAGAAGCGCAGTCCCCACGAAGGCCTCACAGAGACACGGCAGCTCTCCGGGGCCACGTGCTAAATGCAGGTCTTACATGTGGCATGTGCCCAGAAACTGGCGGTTTTAAAAGGGACCTGGGGACCCACACATTTTGGGAGCCTAGCAACCATCAGATGGGCCCTTCCTAATTCTTGGAGCTGGGACACTCCCAGCATCTTTCCAGTCTTGTTTGTCTTGAAAACACAAAGTGACTCTGTGTTGTGCTTTTCAATCCAGCAACTGAGGACCAATGAGAGTTCTGACTCGAGCAGCACAGAGACGTTTAGATGATGCGACAAGAGAAGCATCAGGGGTTGGAGAGAAAAGCAGCTTTGGGGACAGTTCTGTCCAACACTGCTGCTGCTCCCACAGTGGCCTTGTAGTTCTGTCTGCTTAAAGGAATGCAGTTCTCCCTAAGCAGATTTTCTTATTTATTTTGCAGCCAAAATGTGGGTTTATTCCTTCCTCCAGTGCCGTGACGCACGAGATGAAGCACAAGGTGTGTCGCTACTGCATGCACCAGCACCTCAAGGTGAGTGCTGGCCAGCCCGCCCGCCTGCAGGCTGTGGGGAGGGTGCTGGCCTGCAGTGACCACCCAGAGTTTTCAAAAGAGTGAAAGAAGTTGTAGATGCTTATTATTTACCTCACCTTTTTGTTTTTTGTTTTAAATTGAGATAAATTTTTTTTGCCCTAAGATTCACCCTTTTAAAGTGTATACATTGAGTATATTTTAGTATATTCACAAAGTTGTACAACCATCACCACTATCTAACTCCAGAACATTTTCATCACTTCAAAAAGGAATTCTGTCCCCAGGAGCAGTCCCTGTCCTCCCAACCCCTGTCAGCCTCCAGTGTGTCTGGATTTGCCTGTTCTGGACAGTCATACAATGTGTGGCCTTTTGTGACTGTCTTTTTCCATTTAGTATAATTATATTGAGTCCATCCATGTAGTAGCATGTATCAGCACTTCATTCCTCTTATGACTGATTAATAGTTCATTGTCTGGGGACATTTTGTCCATCTACTCATCTGTTGATAAACATGTGATCTTTCCACCTTTTGGTTATTGTGAATAATGTTGCTATGAACATGCATGTACATGTGTTTCTTTGAATCCCTGTTTTCTGTTTTCTTCCGGCACGGCCATGAGTGAGCCTGAACTCAGGCCCCTATTTCCCATACTCAGCCCCACGTTGGGCATCATGTGTTCTGTGCCAGCACAGCCAGGTTCGGTGAGCCTGAGAGGGGGCGGTGTAGGATTGAGAAAAGACAGATAAGAGAAAAAAGCTCTCCATCTGGGTGGGACGCTGTCCTCTCAGATGGAGAGCTAGCGACAGTGCCATGGCCTACAAGCAGAGTCTTTTATCTTATAGCCAGATTCCATGAGGCAAAGTAAGGGCATGGTAAAGATGTTTACAATGTTCGTGCAGGTTTTGAATCTACGCAATTATATGTACCTGAACTCTATCAAGCCCACATCACTCAGCCACGTGGGACCATAGGTTCTGACCTTAAGTTCAAGCTTACAACTATAGCCTTTGGCTATGATTGTGCTGGGGCTTGCCTGTGGCTTTGCCACAAAAGGATCTGTCCAAACGCTGTAGCTGCTCCCACAGGGTAGATTTTTTGGAGTGGAATTACCGGGTCTTAGGAAAGTTCTATGCTTAACCTTTTGAAAAACACCACTGTTTTCCCCAGTGTGGTTTTCCCATCAGTAATGTATGAGTGTATGAGTATTCTAATTTCTCCCCATCCTTGCCAGCCCTCGTTGTTCTTGTTTGTGGTGAGTGTGCAGTGGTAGCTCATTGTAGTTCTCATTTGTGTTTCTCTAACAGTGATGGTCAGCATCTTTTCATGTGCTTATTGTGTCATTGAAATATATTCTTTGGAGAAATGTCTATTCAAGTTCTTTGCCCATTTTGAATTGGGTTTTTCTGTTGTAGAGTTTACATGTTCTTTATATATTATGCTAGAAGTCCAATGCATGAAATTCATGTAAGGGGTTTGGCCCTCGCAGCCTCAGCTTTGTGGTCATCCGGAAGGCCATCTGGAAGGATGTCTGGAAGGTTGTTCAGCTGTTTGATCTAATTAGCATATTATGCTTTTATCATTATTATTATTATTATTATTATTATTGACCCCAGTGCACAAAATTTGTGCACGGGGGCAGGGGGTGTTCCTCAGTCCAGCCTGCACCCTCTCCAATCTGGGATCCCTCTCACAATCCAGAACAGCTGGCTCCTAACTGCTCGCCTGCCTGCCTTCCTGATTGCCCCTAACCAATTCTGCCTACCAGCCTGATCACCCCCTAACCACTCCCCTGCCAGCCTGATAAATGCCTAACTTCTCCCCTGCCGGCCCGATTGTCCCTAACTGCCCTCCCCTGCAGGCCTGGTCCCCCAAACTGCCCTCCCCTGCAGTCCTGTTCCCTTCCATCTGTCCTCCCCTGCCAGCCTGGCCGCCCCTAACTATCCTCTGCTGCTAGCCTGTTCCCCCTCATCTGCCCTCCCCTGCCAGCTTTGTCATCCCTAACTGTCCTCCCCTGCAGGCCTGATTCTCCCTTCCCCCCCAATTGTCCTCCCCTGAGGGCCTGGTTGCTTCCAACTGCCCTCCCCTGCTGACCTGGTTGCCCCCAACTGTCCCCCTCTGCTGGCTATCTTGTGGCAACCATCTTGTCTCCACATGGGGGTGGTCATCTTTGACCACATGGGGGCGGCCATCTTGTGTGTTGGAGTGATGGTCAATTTGCATGTTACCTCTTTATTATATAGGATGTGATTTGCAAATATTTTTTTCCTCTTTTGTCATTGCCTTTTACTCTTGTTTTTCTTTTTAATGTTTTATTGATTTCAGAGAGGAAGGAAGATAGAGAGATAGAAACATGAGTGATGAGAGAGAATCATTAATCAGCTGCCTCCTGCACACCCCCTACTGGGGACCAAGCCTACAACCCAGGCATGTGCCCTTAACTGGAATCGAACCTGGGACCCGTCAGCCCACAGGCTGATTCTCTATCCATTGAGACAAAACGGCCAGTGCTACTCTGTTGATAGTATGCTCTGATGCACGAAGTTTTAAATTTTGACAAAGTCTATTTTGTCTACTTTTTCTTTTGTTGCCTGTAGTAGGTTTTGAAATGAGGAAGTGTTAATCCTCCAGCTTTGTTCTTTTTCAAGATTGTTTAGGTTATTTGGTGCCTTTTACAATTATGTATGAATATGAGGATTGGATTTTTTATTTTTCAAAACATGACTCAGAATTTTGATAGAAATTGCGGGAATCTTTGGATCATTTGGGTGGTGTCATCTTACCCATTACAGTTTGCTAGCATTAAGTACATCCGCATTGTCGTGCAGCTATCTCTAGACCTCTGTTCATTCTGCAAACTGAAACTATACCCAGTGAACAGCCCCATGTTCTCTTCTCAGCCCCGAGAGCCACCATTGCAGTGGTTACCTATGAATTTGACTGCCGTTGGCACCTCATACGTGTGGAATGATACAGTGTCTTTGTGAAGAGCACAGTGCCCTTGAGGTTCATCCATGCTGCAGCATGTCTCAGTTTCCTTCCTTTTGAAGCTGAGTAATCCACTGAACTGGGTTGCTTCCCCCTTTTGGCTGTTGTCAATGATGCTGCTATGAATAAGAGTGAGACCCTGCTTTCCATTTTTTGAGTAAATACCCAGAAGTAAGAATTGCTGGGTCATATGGTAAAACTCTTTTTAATGACGAGGAACCACATTCTGTGGCTCATGGAGCTGTTCCGTTCACATTCCACCACGGCACGTTTCCCCGCATCCTCACCAAAACTTGCTACTTTCTATTTTTGATATTAGCCATCTTAAGGAGTATGAGGTGAGAAATGCAATTGGTTTTTGCATATTGATATTTTTTAAGGAAAAGAGGCTTACTTCTTTTGTGCACAATAACAAGAGTGGTATCCACCACCTGTTCATCCTGTGCCCCATCCTGGCTGGTGCCGGGCACTATTGTAACTGGCATTTCCCTCCTCCCTGTTAACACCACAGCTGGTGGCCGACGTGATGTTCACAGCTCTTAGACTGACGGAGGGCAGGGAACGGAATGCCGCTGGGTCTCGGGGTGTCACTGAAAGAATGGAGATAGGATGCCAAGGCTAGGGACCCCTCTGTGTGGCCAGCTTCTGACGCCTTCTTCTGAAGCCTTTCTGCTGTTCCCTTCCATTGGAGCAGTTTCTGGTCCAACTCCCCCAGAGCCAAGGCAGAGGTAGGACTTCCTTCTGTTTGGCTTATTTACACTTAAGACCCAGTCAGTCAGAAAAAAATTCAGTCTTGATCATCATTGCCTGACAGCCTTCTCTGTGGAAACAGAAACAATTCGAAATAGAAAAGTTTAATACAGGACATTCGTGTTTGCAGACTCATTGGAAAGCTGGAGGAGTGACCATAGGCTGTTTCTGGGAATGAGACCTGCCACCTCGGGGAGGTGATGGAGAGTCCTTGCAGGGCTGCGTCCAGGCAGGAAGCCCCGGCTCAGCTGCCTCCAGAGCACCACACAGCTCAAGATTGGACCTGGGAGGAAAAGCCCACCTGGAGTGAGCCTGCTATGGGCTGCGTAGTGACCTTGTATCCTGTCACCCTTTGATGAACTTACTTATTTGCTTGTTTCCTAGGATTTTCTATATACATGATCAGATCACTTGCAAATAGAGATAGTTCTGGTTCTTTCTTCCCAAGCTGATGCTTTTTGTTTTTCTTCCCTAATTGCCCTGGTTAGAACTTACAGTACAATATTGTGTAGAAGTAGCAAGAGTGGACACCCTTACCTTGTTCCTGAACTTCGGGGGACACTTTCACTTCTTCACATTCTGTTCACCGTGAGTTTGGTACAATGTTCATTTTGAGTGCTGTTTGTTTGTTTAGTCATGAAAGGATGGTGAATTTGTCAAGTACTTTCCTATACTGAAATGTCCATGAGGTGTTTTCTTCTGTTAACATAGTGAATCACATTGGTTTTCACATGTTGAACCACTCTTGTATGTCTTGGATAGATTCCTCATGACTGTAGGTGGATAATCCCTTTAATATGCTGCTGAATCTGATTTGTCCGTTTTGGTTAAGGATTTTTTCTTAAAGAATATTGGTCTATACTTTTTATTTTTTTAATGATGTCTTTGTCTGGTTTTGGTACCAGGGTAATAACTGGCTATATGGACGTGGGTTAAGAAGTGTTTCCTTCTCTCCACTTTTCCGTTTTTGGAAGAGTTTGAGTGTTGGGGTTCAACACGTGGTAGAATCACTAGTGAAGCCATCTGGTCCTGAGGTTTCCTTTGTTGGTAGGTTTGTTTGTTTGTTTATTTGTTTGTTTTAATGTATTTTATTGGTTTTCCACAGAGAGGAAGGGAGAGGGACAGAGAGTTAGAAACAGCGATGAGAGAGAAACATCGACCAGCTGCCTCCTGCACCCTCCCTACAGGGGTTGTGCCCACAACCAAAGTACATGGCCTTGACTAGAATCGAACCTGGGACCCTTCAGTCTGCAGGCTGATCCTC